CCTAACTGGGTTAAGGTATTGCTGTTGTGGTGTGGCTAATCTTCTTAGAGAAGCATTTTACCAGTCATTGTTTTCTAATTCCAAATATTATGCAGCACAAGGAGCCACGAGAGGTTCACATGTATGTCGATATGTTTCTTCACGAGGTTTGACAACTCTTCTCCTCGTAACCTGGAAATTATCTAAAGAGCATGCAATAACTCATATTTGTTTGGATTTTCTACTTCGCAGTTAGAAGACGTTGGTAAAGAAGTGAAACAAGTTTTACCTCAAGGGACTTTCCGTAAGCACAAAAGAACAGACAGCAACGGAAGTAACACTACAACCTCATCACGAAGCAATACCCTCCATAATGATAAGATGGCACGGTCAAATTCACAAAGAGCTCGTAGTCAGCTTTTCGAGACACATCTTGCAAAACTGTTCAAGCAAAAAGTAGAAATATTCACCAAGGTTGAATTTACCCAGGTAAAAACGAAAGAGGTTCCCTTATAGTTATATCAAACACGCACTGCCACACGCTCATCATCTCCTGATCTGTTTTCGTGCTAAATATTTGTAGGAATCCGTTGTTACAACAACAGTAAAACTTTGTCTGAAGAGTTTGCAAGAATATGTCCGTCTCCAAACGTTTAACCGGAGCGGGTTCCAGCAGATTCAGCTAGACATTCAGTTCTTAAAAGCTCCATTGAAGGAAGCAGTTGAGGACGAAGCTGCAATAGACTTCTTGCTCGACGAGGTGGTTACACCTAAAGCTCCTTCCTTTACTTTTCTTCTTATTACCATCAAGCAGAGGCGCTATGTCTATCTTTTGCAACTGACCATTGATTCTCCGACCATGATGTGTGTTTGTATTGACAGGTGATCGTTGCGGCTTCGGAGAGATGTCTTGATGTGATTCCATTGGAGCCACCGATCTTGGACAAACTCATACAAGCTAAACTCGCTAAATCAAAGGAGCACAACCACAACACAGTTTCTTCTTAAAAGTTTTCATAACTCAAACAAAGTATACATGATTTTTGCCAATTTATTTCCGCTTCTTGTTATCATCCGTAGTGTAAATCAAAACCATTGAATTGTACTCTCTAGCATTGAACCAGTAAAATCTACACCGTAACTTCTTCTTTACTTTTGTGAACAAATCTTTGAAATTTTTTTTTAGCAACATGCAATTTGACTTAAAAGATATGTAAAACCCTAAAACTAAACTACATAAATTCCTAATTACACTAAAACCCTAAAATTGAGTGCCGAAAAAATAGAAAAAATATTCATAGTCACGGCCTCACGGGTCTCTCTATTATATAAGAACTCCTTGAGACTTAAAAAAAATCTCACATTCCCTCTCTCTAATCTCTCTAATCAAAAAGCTAAAAGCAATGGCCACTGCGATGTCTTACTCTTCTCAAAACCATCGATTCGAGCACCAAACCCTAATCCACCGTAACCCTAAGCCTCGTCTTTGCCGCAACTCTTCAACAGCTCCTCGCCGACGCAAGCAAAGCCCTACGGTTGTTAAATCTCCGGCGGCGAATCCAAATCTTGTAATGGAACAAGTCAAGATCCTCAAACGCGGTGAGACATTGAGCGCGTTTAATAAGAACAAGGAAAACATTAGCTCCGACGATACAAGACGACCTGTTTTGAAGATGATAAAAGATGTTGATCTGATTGTATCGGCTACTAATAGAATTGGACCTGAACCAGAGATTTTGATGAAACAGATCGGAGCTTTGGGATTGCAGAGCTTCGCCGGAGCTAATTGCTCTCTTTCGCCGCCTCCAAGCTGTGTTCCAATTCCATGTTTCTTAGGGACGAAGAACAATCTCCTTGTTTAGATCATCTGATTTGGGGAAAACAAAAACCCTAAAATCGAAACCGTCTTTTGATGGTCTCGTAAGAGCAGATGTGTGAAGAAATCCTGAGATAGAGAGTAAACAAATCTCTTTGTTTATCTCAAAGAAGAAGAAGAAGATGGAGAAGGTGATCACAAAACGCCAATTGCAACCAAAATCTTTACTCTGTAATCGAGTGTTTTGGTGTAACAGTCACTGTGACTATTTTCAATCGCTTTTTTTAGTTTTGTTTCGGATTTTGAAGTTTGTAGTTGTCACTTTCACATGGGATTCAAATCTCTCCTTATGCAATAAAAAACCTTATAGTAATACAAACATAAGTTTCTTGAATCAGTTTATATTCTCTTTAAACAGATACATTCTTGCTCTCATCTTCAAGATTTGTTGCATCAGGTAATACTTTTTTCCAGAACCAATGTTTACTCCATAAGAGTGTCATCTCTTCTATTGGAACTCCTTTGGTTTCAGGCAACAGGAAATACACAAAGATAGTCATTACTGTCACCCAACCAGCAAAGAAGAGGAAGATTCCAAACTTGAATGCACAGAGGAGACCAAGGAAAGCTTGAGCTATGATGAAAGTGAAGAGGAGATTTACAGCTACTGTGATACTCTGCCCCGCTGAACGAGTCTCTAACGGAAAGATTTCGCTAGGTATGGTCCAACCTAGAGGACCCCATGACCATCCGAACGCTACAACAAAGAGGCAGATGAAGATGACTACGATCACTGAGTACCCTTTTGATAGCTCTTGGTTGTCTCCAAATTTCACTCCTAAGATCACTGCTACTATGACTTGACAGATTATCATTTGTATTCCTCCAGTTATGAGAAGAGCTCTTCGTCCCAATCTGTCTACTAATCCTATGGAAATAAATGTTGATAGGACAAGAACAGCTCCTGTTAAAGCTGATGAATAGAGAGATGCGTTTCCTCCAAACCCCATTGTCTGGAACAGAACAGGTGCGTAGAAGAGAATGGAGTTTATCCCTGTGAGTATCTGAAACATTGGCATGCAAATAGCCATAACTAGCTGAGGCCTGTGTCGTTTCTGCAAGATGTTTCTGAATGGATGTTTGATGGAATTCGCAAGCTCACTCGCATCTACCATGTCTTGAAGCTCGGCGTTGACGTTTTCTGTTCCTCTTAGCTTCACTAAGACTCGTCGACCTCTCTCTGTTAATCCTCTTTCGACCAAACTGTTTGGTGTCTCGGGTAAGAAATACCCGCCAAGCGTCATAAGCAGAGCTGGAAAAGCAGCTAAACCAAGAGAGAGTCTCCATCCCCAAGGCTTAAGCTGTTGAGTACCGTAATTAACCATGTTCGCTGTAAAGATCCCGATAGTTGTAGCTAGCTGAAACATCATGTTTAAACCACCTCGTAGATGAGTTGGTGCCACTTCTGATAAATACAAAGGAACCGCCTGAAAACAAAAACCAAAGCAAGGTAACTTTCATTAGAGATGAGATTGGTTTATTATTGGTGACACCAACTAAACAATTGTCTAACCTGATTTCCAAATCCAATACCAACACCAAGCATGATCCGTCCGGCAAGAAGCATAGCTAAGTTCACAGCTCCAGCATTCAAACCAGATCCAATAAGAAAGCTGATTCCACCACAAACAATACTCGCACGCCTACCGTAGTTCCTAGTGATGGGTGAAGCCACGAGAGTCGAAACCAAACCAGCTAAGTAGAGTGAAGAAGTGAAAGCAGCTAAGCCTTGATTATCATATTTGCAGTAATTACTTTCATGAGCTTGCTTCTTCTTCTCATAAACCGTGTGGAAAAACTCCTCAAGAAACTCATCCATCGATGTAACTCCTCCTGCATACAAACAAAAAACCATTTCAGCCATTGTTTGATAAGATTATTAAGAAATTGGATTCAAAAGATGAAGAAAAGAACCTGAGATTCCAATGTCATATCCAAAGATGGATCCACCAATAGCTGCAACAAGGCAAGCGATTATAACATAACTAGTGACTTTCCCTTGGTATTGTTCTGCTCTCTCCTTAGCCACACCGGTCGGACCAAACGACCCTCCTGCCATTTTCTTTTCTTCTTCTTCTTCTTCTGCTACTACTTTGCTTCTTTTTAAGAGTTTGTTGCAACGGTTGACTTTTTTCTTGCTTTTACTCAAATTCCAGAATCTGAGAGACAACGAAACAAAAAGGGTTATACACATTTACATCTTCACGTGGTTAGATAGATTTCAATTTGGTTAGGTTTTGGGAAAATTTTAAATGTGAAGTTTTGCCACTTTGAGATTTGTGATAATTTGCGTATGGATTCGTGTTTGGTACATAATTGTTTGGAATTAAGTTCCAACAAGTAAATACGTCATTTTCTTGACCTTATCTTCACATAACAAATTAAAAATTTAATACTGATTTTGCATGTCTTCCTCCTACTTTGATGTCTATTTCCACAAAAATCATCAATGCTCGTTGGAATATTGTCAGAATATACTAATGCTATATAAGAAAACAAATACAAAAAGAGATTTTATACTTTTTTGGTCAAATGTCATCTTCATAATAAAAAAAAAGATTACGATCTTATCCCGTTCTAACAAGTAACACCTCGAAAAAAAAAAGAAATCAAAATCCTTCCTAGTAAAAAAAAAAAAAAAGTTGGTTTCAGACAGAAAGTGAAGAATCAAGACAAGTGTGATGATTTTCGTCATAGGTTGAAAGAAAACAGATTAAAAAAAAAAGAAGAGGACTTACAGGAGAAAGAAGAAGGAAGATGTAACGATTTGTTGTAGACTGGGAAATGATTCAGACTTGTGTGTGCTATTTATTCCATGGATTTTTTGATCGCCTACTATGAAGGCGATGTTAAAGATGATGTTGACCAAGTTTTGATCAAAGTCGAATATAGAGAGACTAAATATACAACAACAACAAAAATAAAATAAATCAAAAGCTTTAAATTCACACACACAAATTTCGATAGTAGCTATGGATTTAAGACAAGTGTAAGAAGAAATCACACACATAGTAGTTTTCAACGTAAGGAGGATGATGAAGATGACATTATTGTATCCCACAATTGTCACCCATTTTTTGGAAACAGATGACATATCATTAAACGTTTGGTTAACTACATACAAGGTGAAGGATTTACAACAAATGTGGTTGTAGTATAGCGGTTAGTATCCCACGTTGTGGCCGTGGGGACCCGGGCTCGAATCCCGGCAGCCACACTTTTTGTTACCTCTTCTTTTTATTTCCAGAAAGGGTATTTTCGACATTACAGTAATCACGTGATCATTAGATCTGGACCGTTCATTTTACCCCCCGCCATTTCTCTCTATAATACTTTTCCCGCCTAAACTCATCGTCATCTACAACCCTGTTACCGCCCAATTTCGCAGTCACTGGTTCATTCCTTTCTCTTCTTCCTCTTCCACTCTCTCTCTAGACCCAAGTTTTGAAACCATGAAAGACCACGATTTCGACGGCGACAAAGGTTACATTCTCTCTTCTTCTCCGTTCTCGATAATCTCTTCCCTCTTTTTTCTCTGGGTTTGATTCTCACTTTTTTTTTCTTCTTGTATATAGGGCTTGCCAAGGGATTTCTAGAGAATTTCGCCGACGCCAATGGCAGGTCTAAGTACATGGAGATTCTCGTAAGTCTCAATTTCCTTTATCTTCCACCAATTTCTCTCTTCTAGGGTTTTCGCGAATCTCCCTAATTTTAGGGGTTTATGTTCTATTTATGAATCTATGTAGCAAGAGGTTTCAAATCGTAAGATTCGAGCTATTCAAGTCGATCTTGATGACTTATTCAATGTGAGTTTTTTTTTTGTTTCTCTCTAATGTTGTTTCTGTTTTGGATGTTGCAATTGTAAAAGCCACTTCATCTCTTTTGATGTTGTATAGTATAAGGATGAAAGTGAGGAGTTTCTTGGACGGTTGACGGAAAACACTCGCCGATATGTTTCGATATTCTCCGCTGCTGTTGACGAGTTGTTACCCGAACCAACGGAAGCGTTTCCAGATGATGATCATGATATTCTCATGACTCAGAGAGCAGATGATGGGACTGATAATCCAGATGTTTCTGATCCTCATCAGCAGATTCCTTCTGAGATTAAAAGATATTAGTAAGTTTTGTCTGAGTCTATTTGCTGGACATAAGCTTTAGGGAATGAGTTTTACAATAGTTTGCTAATGAATTTACTTTGATTCAGTGAGGTTTATTTTAAAGCTCCTTCAAAGGGAAGGCCATCTACCATCAGGGAGGTTAAGGCTTCACACATTGGGCAACTTGTTAGGATATCTGGTATTGTGACCCGTTGTTCCGATGTCAAGCCATTGATGGCGGTTGCTGTTTACACATGCGAAGATTGTGGTCATGAGATTTACCAGGTACAACTATGCTTTTGCCAGATTGTAGTTTTGTTTTTGTTTTGTTAACTGCTATCTCTGATTTATCTTCTTTTTTTACATCAGGAAGTTACATCTAGAGTCTTCATGCCTTTGTTTAAGTGTCCCTCTAGTCGCTGTCGTCTTAATAGTAAAGCCGGGAATCCTATTCTTCAGCTCAGAGCATCAAAGTTTCTAAAGTTTCAGGAGGTTCTGTTTCTGGTCAATGAGTGTCATTTATGTGAATGCACTGATATCAAACTAGTGAGTAAAAAATCAATGTTTTTGCAGGCCAAGATGCAAGAGTTGGCTGAGCACGTTCCCAAAGGGCATATTCCGAGGTCTATGACTGTTCATCTAAGAGGAGAGTTGACAAGAAAGGTACCTTTTCTTTACCTCAGTCTCATGCTACTATTGGAATCTATTTGTTCTACTTTCAGAGTCAGTAGGTCGGTTGCTTAGGAATAGTCCAATGAGAAGTTATTGTTCCGCTTAAAAGCATATGCTGAGCAGTTTTTAATTAAGAGGAATTTTTTCCATTGTTGTACTGGGACTCTATCTGTAGAAATTGTGATATCAGCATCATTTACTATCGTACTATTGTGAATTTCTTACTTTTTTCCTTAAACCCTTGTAGGTATCACCAGGTGATGTTGTTGAATTCTCAGGGATTTTTCTTCCCATTCCTTACACTGGGTTTAAGGCACTTCGAGCTGGCTTAGTAGCAGACACCTATCTGGAAGCAACGTCTGTTACTCATTTCAAGAAGAAATATGAGGAGTAAGGCATCGTTACACCTTAACACTAACGAAATATTCTGATTTAGTAACCTATTCCGCGTTTTTGGCATTTGCTTAACTTAAGAAGCAGCTTTGGTGTGTGCACAATATCAGAAAGCATCTTTATACCTTTTTTATTATGATCTACAGATATGAGTTTCAGAAAGATGAGGAAGAACAGATTGCACGTTTGGCTGAGGATGGTGATATATACAATAAGCTGTCGCGATCCCTGGCCCCTGAGATTTATGGACATGAAGATATTAAGAAAGCTTTGCTTCTCCTTCTTGTGGGTGCTCCTCACAGGCAATTAAAGGATGGAATGAAGGTGAACTTTCCTGTCCTCTAATTTATTCTGGCAAAATTTCCATGATATTGCTATCTATTATGATAAAGACTGTACACTAATTAGAAAGCAGTTGCTTGCTTTAGTTCATCTCCGACTATATTGTTTTACCTTTTGCCATACACTTTCAGTGTCCGCAGTCTTCATTGATTGAGTTATGGAGCTTTATTATTTACAAACATTTTCAGCCATTCAAGAGCACATTGCACTTGATTGGAACACATTTTATCTGTGAAGATTTAAAAACAATACATTCATTAATTATCTTTTGCAGATTAGAGGAGATGTGCATATCTGTCTGATGGGTGATCCTGGAGTTGCCAAAAGTCAGCTTCTCAAGCACATTATAAATGTTGCTCCAAGGGGAGTCTACACAACAGGCAAAGGTAGCAGTGGAGTTGGTCTAACTGCCGCTGTTATGAGAGATCAAGTAACAAATGAGATGGTTTTAGAAGGAGGAGCACTGGTGAGAAACAATGATTTTTCGCTTTGGATATATATTAGAAAATATGATGTATTGTTAAGAGCTATGTGATTTAGAAGATTGATACAATCTCTATCTCAGGTGCTGGCTGACATGGGAATCTGTGCAATTGATGAGTTTGATAAGATGGATGAATCAGATCGTACTGCTATTCATGAAGTCATGGAGCAGCAAACTGTAAGCATTGCAAAAGCTGGGATTACCACGTCTTTGAATGCTCGAACAGCTGTTCTTGCCGCAGCCAATCCAGCCTGGTAAGTGAACTCTCATGATATGAATTAAAAACTTATGAAAGTTGAGTGATCATTGCTATCATTATTGAACTAGATATCTTTGTGTTTATGAAGGGGAAGATATGATTTGCGAAGAACTCCAGCTGAAAACATTAATCTTCCACCAGCCCTTCTTTCAAGATTCGATCTGCTGTGGTTGATCTTAGATCGAGCTGACATGGACAGTGACCTTGAATTGGCAAAGCATGTGCTTCACGTACATCAGACAGAAGAATCTCCTGCGCTTGGTTTCGAGCCGCTGGAACCCAATATTCTCCGGTAAGTTAAAATCGCCTTTATAGCATTCCTGTTCTGCAGAGTTAGAGACTTTAACATGAGCATCTCTGGTCCTCTAGTGCATACATTTCAGCTGCAAGGAGATTATCACCATACGTCCCAGCAGAGTTGGAGGAATATATAGCAACTGCTTATTCCAGCATCAGGCAAGAAGAAGCGAAATCAAACACTCCTCATTCTTACACAACAGTGAGGACACTGCTCAGCATTCTGCGCATATCCGCTGTAAGTAGAATTTGTGTAGGAACTTGAGTAAATAAGTTGGACTATTGAGTGTTAATATATTTCCGATTTGTTCTATAGGCATTAGCAAGGTTGAGATTTTCAGAATCAGTGGCACAGAGTGATGTGGATGAGGCGCTTAGACTAATGCAGATGTCGAAAATATCATTGTATGCTGATGACCGACAAAAGGCAGGACTAGATGCAATATCAGACACATACTCAATCATAAGAGACGAAGCTGCAAGATCAAAAAAGACCCATGTGAGCTACGCAAATGCCCTGAACTGGATCTCCAGAAAGGTTAGTTTCTTCCTTCATCATCATCTTCATGTTCTTTCTGAAAATGGATGATCACTGAGACGAGAGATTTGGGGTGTGAAAACAGGGATACAGTGAGGCTCAGCTAAAGGAGTGTTTGGAGGAATATGCAGCTTTGAATGTTTGGCAGATTGATCCTCACACCTTTGACATCCGTTTTATCTGAGTAACACCACCCAAAAAAAAAAAAATGGAAACAAACCAAGTCTCTCTTGTTATGTTGTGTGCTTTTTCTCTATTATCTTATCACATTTCTTAACGTAGAGACCTTAGAAGTGGAATCTGTAGAAGTGATCTCTTGATTGCAGAACAAACTTTACTTTTGGAAATTTAGATGTGACTTTGTACTCTTGCAGTTCTTTTCACTCTCGCAATTTTACTACGGTTTTGATCTAGGTTTGATTAAAACACTTCTTAGGGCCTGACTGGTTTAAACGCATCGGGTGCGGTTGCGATTGCGGGAGTTTGCGGAAACGGGCGGTTGCGGTTTCAAGCGTTATCAAGCGTTTTGAACGACTGGTTGAGCGTTTGATAACGGATGCGTTTGCGGGAGTTTTATGACTGGTAAAACAGCGGGTGCGATAGTAATTAAATAAAAAATAACCAAAATAAATATAATATATTACTATTAAAAGAAAAAATACAATATATTACTACGATAAATTGATAATATTAGAAAAATTAAACATGCTTAATAATTAAAACCATAAATAAAACATTAAATTCAAAAATAAATAAATTTTGTAAAAAAAAGCTTAATACTTTATGCATTTGGTACATCACTAAAAAATTGCATCAAGTAGTGTGATAAACTGTAAATAACGTTGAACTCGCGGGTTTTCCGGATTGCCTTTATACATATGATAAAGTTCTAACAAGAAACGGGTCATCTCGTCTGACCAAATGATTTTCTAATCGAGAAAACAAATCAAAACATGTATTCAATCAAAAAACTCAAAAAAAAAAAAAAAAAAAATGACGATGCCATGAAATACTCAGAGAATTACACTAGCTAATAAATGAATGAAAGGATAGATCATATTTACGTTTGATTCTTGATTTTGATTTTGATTTTCATCAGTTTAGGTGGATGCTATAATTGAGAGAATAGGGT